CAGCTCGGCCTGGCTGAGGTGCCACACGACGCCATGGGCCTGGCGGGCCGAGGTGCCACCCTGCAGCGGGCCTGGCACCTCCCGCCCCTGTCTTGGACACCCCGAACTGCTCTCTTCCAGCCTAGGGGTCCTAAAACTCAAGGCTGGATCGAGACTTGGTGGGAAGTCTAAGTCCCTGCACCTCCTTCTCCTCTTGCCTCGGGTGAACCCATTAAGTAAACCAGAATGGCGCACCAGGCCAAGCGCTTTAAAATGCCAAGGGGGCTGAGGAGCCTACGCTCAGTGTTTAAAACGGCCCGTCACTTAAAGCTTGGAACTCGTATTCCTAAGTCACTTTGGCAGGTCTCTGAAAAAAATGTGACCGTAGGCAAAAATCAGGGACTCCATTCTCCAGCTGCAGACTGGGGACAATGTTTTGCTGCTTCTCCCCTATTCTGGCTTCTCTATTTAGGAATCAGCTCTTTATGTAGGAGTTGCCCTGCGGTTGGAAGCTGCCTGCCATCTAAGGGCTCCAGTTTCAGTTGGGAACTCTAGATGTTGGTGTAATACAAGTAATGAAAAATGCTAATTTTAGAAAAAATCTGGGTAGCATAAAAGTACTACATAAAGTGAGAGTTAAACAGTTAAAATATGTGCCAGGGAGTGGACTAGTTCATCCCATTTAATTCAAATTTTTTAAAGAAAATCCAGTCTGCTTAAAGTCACTAAGTTGTCAGTACTTCCAACATCTTTTGGTTTGGTCAACCTCAGTGAGAAAAAGGACCAGGGAATGCTGGGCTCAGTAACTCTGAAGGCAATGAGAGTAACATTAACTGGTCTGAATTTTGGGGGACAGCTCTCTTAACTCATTCCTGCAGAATCAAGAGTTTTCTGTGAACTTTTGCCAGTTAAACCTATAAAGGTTTTGGGGTGTGCTGGGTGTTCTTCCATGACTGTAATGTTGGGTTTAGCTGAAGTCTGCTGTTAGCTCTAATCCCTTCATAAATGTCCACAAGAACTTTCACGTTTCTGGATGCCTGGAGTGGTTAAGATATCAATATATCTTGTTTGCAAAGCCGTTCTCTTTTGCTCTGATTTTACTGGCTCGCCCTAGCTAGAACAGGGGAAAATCTTTAGTTAGTACTTGCAGGAGAATTTTGAAAAGGATCCCTGTTGGTACATATGCAGGTGCTTGTAGTTAGACAGCCATGACACCGTTGGATGTCTACTGAACCACCATACCACTTGTGAACGAGGAGGTACCATCTGGTCCATCTGCATCTCAAAAAAAGTCTTTAATTAACATCATACGCTGTTTGGGAATGGGGTGGTCTTACCATTATCAAGGTTGAAGCAGATCCTAGCTTCTTCCAAGTAAGGGGTGTCACTCTTAGACCGGAGTCTTCTGATGGGTCTCCGGTCTATGTCATCCTCCGAAGACGCTGTCATCAGAGTGGGCACAGTGAGAAGAGTTGCCCGACGAGCTGGTAAGAAAGAACAAATGAAGAGGAGAATAGCAGGAGAAAGGAGAAATGGAAAGGGGAAGGAAGAGGGAGAAAAAGAAGAAAAGAGAAGAGAAAGAAAATCATTCAATGGTAAAGAGGATCTGTAGCAGGTAGTAGAAGAGGCTATTTGCTGAAAGGTCCCTGCCTCACATGCTCCAGAATTTAAGGGCTGCACTGAATGATGCCAAGAAGAGGAAAGATTGGTGTGTCGTGTGCCCCAAACACACAGGTTATAGGTCTGTTCCTGCCTCAGATTGTTTGTTCAAAGTTCCTAGTTTTTCCACTTAAACCACTCTCTTCACAAATTCTCAATAGCTGTAGTCTCTCTTTTTCTGAATGCTGTTTTTGAGGCTGTGATGCCTGAGTAATCGAAGTATTTAAGTGACCGCTTAGCTTGCAGAAATCAGTGGAAGCTGTGCTTGGGACACATGACATGATGCCTACAACAACTATTCCAGAACTCATTTTCTTGTTGTCTTGATTTGGGCACTCAAAATTAACAGCTACTTTTTGCTCTTCATCACTTTATGTCTTAGTTTCGGAGTTGTGAAACAGGGAGAATCATCATTTTCTTTCAGTAGGGATTTCATGAGGATATAAATTCATTAATATTTGTAAAGTATTCATATACTTTAGTGAAGCACCAATGAAAAGCCCATGAGGAAATTAAGATTTCTATTTTCTGAACTGGGTTTAAATGGCTTGGGGCCATGCCTTCAAGGAGGAGAAAGCAAAATATTTAATACTGGCTTATTAAGCGAGCACTGCCCACTCCATGCACTGATGAAGCAAATGGTAGGATAGTAAAAAATTACTGTGTCATCATGCAATTAGAAACTGTACTAAATACATATGTATAAGGAGACTGAATTAATGTTGTAGAGGCAAACATCATTCTGGCATTGCCTAAGTATTTAGCACTTGACCTTACAGCCTTGATAATGTCCCTTTAATGTAGGTGTTTTTCATGTGAAATGTAATTATGAGCAGCTGTTGAATGCTTTGGGTGCTGAACCTATAAATTACAAATCAAATACAGAAGAGCCTCTATAAATATATCCACCTCAATTCTCTCTCTCGGTAGATAAAGATTATCACAAATGCTAGCTGGGATCTGGCTGATCACTGAAAGCGTGAGCACCATGCACAAGTACCTTCTCAGTGTGTTTCTCTCCCCTCCGCCTCATATATAGCTGGAAAGAGAGTTTCAGCTTGAAAGCCTGTCCTTAGCCTTAGTGTGGGACTGTTAACGTTAACTTTCATGTGGGACCCTGTAAGAGCCTAGGAGCCTAAACCCTGGATGTTGCTGTTTGGGCATTGTCTGGCAGAACAGCCTTTATCTTAGGGCTTTTGTAAGCCACCACACTTCAAATAACTAATAATGAACTATATTTTCCTGCTGGGACTGGAGAGCACGACTGATAGTGACTAAGAGCATGTTCTGCAGCCTGTTAACTGTGGTTCTTTCTTTTAATAGTTTTTCAGAGTTCCAAATAATACCTGTCAATCAGAAGCCTTCAGATGCCTAAAACCTGACTTAGGTGTTAGGTATGATAGCATATAATTAGTATGAGTTAACTAAAGCTGTCACGCTCTATTTGTCAATTTGCAGCATTATGTAGTTTACTAAACAAGTAAATCTGTGCTGCTGGACATAGGAGTTATTTCTGGTCTAACTTGCTTGTTTTCTGGTTTTAAATAGATTTCTTTCAAGTTTTTGCACATTTCTAACCTAGGGTTTGAATTTGAAGTAAAAGCAGAGGCCAAGAGTTGAAACTGATTTAATGGGGTCAACTACTGAGATTAAGCTAAAGTAAACACTGTGACTAGACTGTAAACTATTACTCCCTTGTAATAGTGAAGTACAGTAATGAAGATAAAAGAGAATGGAAAATTTCTGCTACAGAGAATTTTGTGTACTGCATCATCAAATTTGCACTTAAGGAAGATTTATCTGTATATGAAGTCAGCATTGTAAAAATCATCTCATAAAACAACCTTGTAAAACATTTGTCTTTTAAAACTGGCATGATCTAGCTGTAGTTAAACCAAGGAAAAGGGCACCCATGCATTTCAGGGCTGGCTAAATCACAGCATAGGAATCTATTTGAAAAAAGAAGAAAAAACAACACCAAATTGCATATACATTTATGGTAAGCAGAGAATAAGAGTGGGCTTTTCTATATAATTGTTTATAAATAATTTTTACCTTTGGGGTCAAAATATTGGGATCTGGCTTGTATTCATTTTGACTAGAGGTAGATGGATGCTGGAAAATGTTTCTTAGAGTATTCATTATATATTACTTTGACAACAATGATTATCTCCCCTTTGTGTGTATTACCAAAAGGAGTTTTCAAGAATGACTGAAAATTTTAAGTAAACATTTGAAAAATTTCAGAGGAAGCTAATAAGTATAAAAACATTTTCCAATAAAAACCTAACATCAATTCTTATGCAGCCATGGAACTGGAAATTATAGCTGATCACATTCTGATATCCATACAGTGATACTGAATATTTATGCATGCCATGAACATACCTGAACACACTCTTTTCCTAACCATAATCCATAGCACTCCTTATTACAAGAGTGACTTGCCATATACTTTTTAGTAAAGCTGTCAACATTTGCCCAATGTGAGCATTGGGTCCATCACAGATAATCCACTAGTATCTCTAGCTTCAGCTGCTCTCCACAAACCAGCTCAGTCTCTGGGACACATTTTTAGGAGATGGTTTTTCAGGAAAATTAGAAAGTGTCCTCTTGAAGGTCTTGGAGTAAAGGAATGACATTATGATACACATTAAGGGACCCAGTTATGCTGCAAATGGAATGTGAGACCAGCGTCCAAAACCTCATTTTAAGCAGCGACTCTTAACAGTGCACAGAAGGCAAATCAGTAATTTTGGTTAAATTCTTTCATTCTGTTTGCATTGTTCTTCATGGGGTTACGCCACAATTGGCACATTGCGGCAACATCTTGTCTGGTATTTGCTAGAAAGGGAAAAGGTTGCTTATGGAGGAAAAATACCTTAAAAATAGAAATGCGTTAATGTATGTAATGACACCTTAGAACTGATTACATATAATTCACATTTGTGTCTCAAAATATTTTATGTTACTGAAGTACAACACAAGTATGTGTTTGGCAGAAGGGAATGTGAAATACGTAAATTATTATATTGCATGTTCAGAGGCATTTTGAACATTTAATTTCAATATATTTAGTTACATCTACAGGTCGTCCAATTTTTGAATGCTGTTTGAAATTCATGAGAACATGGGGGACAGTTTGCAAAGAATTTTTGATGGCTTCCATTTTTTCCATTAAAATACATTTCCACATATTTTAATAAAAATATTAATAATAATTTTAGTTTGCCAAGAACTAGCTTTATGTTTTGAAGAGTTATAATATTGATTTTTTTTTAAGACCCGTGTTTTTTTAGAAAAATTTTAGACATTTTTAATTGGAAAACTTTCAGAAATGAAAAGCAATCCTCCTAAAAATTAGTCAGAGAAAATGTGAAATATTAATCTAGATTTTTCCATCCACATTTATCAATTGACTTTTGTTAAAATGTTTTTGAAATATCTCATTGGTCACACAAATAACCTGGTCATTTTTGGCTCTATAGGGTCTTCATCTAGAAACCCTAATTTGTATAGTAGATTCTTACCTTGAAATGGCAAAAACTTTTGAGACCTGATGATTTTAATCTTAGGACAAGCAAAATGCCAAAATGTTTCTTCTGGAGATGTCTAGACCTAGAGGCATTGGAAAGGGTATGTTTCTGATGCATATAATCACAAGCAACTTCAGATGACATAGGAATAGCCATAAAGGAATACTTTTTTACATTAGCAATCTTTAAGACTTTTTTGAGGAAACCCTAATTTCTCAGGGCAAATTTTGAACAACTTTGTAGAATACCTATGAATATATATTAATTGCAGCGCTGCTGTTGCTGACTGAGTAGGATTCTTTTTTGCTGCTTTTTTTTTTTCCACTAGAGAAACATATGACTTTACTCAGTTCTCCTCCTTCATGCTTCTGTGGAAAGGGCTCACCATGGCATAACATGTAGATAATGCACACAGAAATGTATTTTTGGCTAAATGTAAGCTTTAAAAACATTACTTCAGGTACATTTTGATGCATTTAGAACATGATATTCCATCTGTGCTAAAAAAAAAAATTATTAGATTGTGAATATTCTTCTTTAAAGACAGACCAAGCAGTGGGTCCAAATGGATGTTTACCAGGAAAAAAATCTTTTGGTCTGATTTAATGCCACTTCACTTTAGTCTTGTTTTAAATGCAACTGATAAAGAAAACATTTGAAGGATTAGAGATGGGAAATGGGATATGACTGGCAGGAGAGGAAGAGAGTAGAACATGTGTGCAAGCACTGGAGAAGACATAATTTGTCATTTATAAGGAATGATTTATAGGCTTGTGTCTCCCATTTGAACACAGAAGCACATGTGTATGGATTGCTCCCTGTCTCTAAAGCAAAGCTGCTGGGATCTTTGACACCAATTTGATGGACATCACTAATCTGAAAGAAAGTTCTTAGATACATACTATTCAAACACAGGCCTGAGGGTTGCAAACAATGGTACACATGCAAAAGGATATCCACTTTTGTGCACATGCTTGTTATGCTAGTTTGCGATATTTGGGTTGGGTAAACATATGCACAATATGCCTAACTAGCATTTTTTGTACCTTTTAGAGGAAACATGCTTGTTCCTCTGCCATTGTGTCCAAAAGCATAGGCTTCAGAAAACAGACTATTAAAAATAAATAAACAAAACAGCTAAATTATTATGAAGTAGGGACAAGTAGAGGCTTGTTTATTTAAAATTAATTTTTAATAGGAAAAAGTAGATTTAGTTTTCAGAATCAAATTTTTTTCAAGTGTGACCCATGCATAGGTTTTCTAAAGCTTTCAGTATTTAGGGGTATAGA